GGCCTCACATTCAAAGAATTTCACCTTCTTTAGCCTCAATTAACAACTATGATCACTGTCTATGAATTACAAACACATATTCTTTCAATACAACAAGAAATAAATAAAAGAGAAACAAAACATTAGAGAGACAAAAACATTTAAGACCAATTTGAGTACGGAGAAGAAAAGACAGAGAATTTAGAAAAACACCTGGTAATATTAGATGCTGCCCTGTGCTTCCCCTTCTTTCTCTCTCTTCCCCTTCAACTTCTTCCTTCTTCCCTTGTTCTCAGAAGTAGACCCAGATGATGAAAGGTGTTTTGGGCTTGGGCAGTAAAGAGAGCTCCATCCTAGAAATGGATTAGACGTCGCCGGCGACGACTCTGAATTTTTTGACTCTTCTTCATACACACATTTTCTCTCTTCCTTTTCTTCCAAAGACTCAGCAGCACGAAGCCAAGGCCCGTACTGATTAACCCCCATTTCCGAGCTCTCTGGACAAGACCATTGTGTGTGTCCAACACAACCGCATATATAACAAAAACTGCCCAACTTTTCGTACCGAAAAGGAGCCCAAAGTGTATGCTCTGTACCTGACTCAAGAAGTTGTATACCTCTTCTCAGCGGATTCGTAATATCGAGCTCAATTCTAATACGAAGCACTTTGTCTCGAATTTCGACTTGCTAACACTAACCCACCTCGCCGGCAATTTTTCCCGCCGCAGCTTCATTGAGGAATGTGATGGGTAGATCCAACACCTGTATCCAGAAGGGTGTCCGAGTGAAATGGGAGTTGTTGAAAAAGATAGAACAATCGTCATCTGTCCATGCTCTCATGACCACCAAGTGTTTGTCGAAATGCCAAGGGCGGTTGAAGAGGACTCTTTCGCGAACTTCATCATCTGGAATGATGAACTGGAAGATGTTAACTCCAGCGACACGATAAACCACCAGCGATTCTTCGATGCCCCATAATTTCCCGAACTCCCTCCGAACTCTTGAAGCTTTAAACCTGTATTTGTTTGACCAGATTTTCCCAAACACACTGATACGACACTGTTGGTGAGCTGGGAGAATGTCCTCTTCCGTAAGAATGATGGGTTCTGTTTCTGCTTCTGGAAGAGTGAAATTGGGAAACAAAGAAACCAACTCTTCTTCCATGGGATTGATGAAGTAATCACAAAATGAGAAAACAAAAAGAAAGAAGCACAAAGGAGATTTAAGATTTATTAGCCTGAGAAGAGAAAACCAGCACTCGAAGTCTGTGAATAATGCTGCGAAGAAGTTGGGTCAACCAAAACAAGACGCCGCAAAGAAGTGTGTCCAAGAAGATTGAGAAACCCACTTACTGTATTACAGTTACAGTAGTGAACGTCGGAGAAGAGAGTTACCGCCAAACGAGCAATTCACTCCGCACAAATAAAGATGGGCCTGGAGTCCCGGACTTCAAAATGGTCCTTAATCATATTGAAATCCCCCGGACTTCAAAATTTGTCCCTGGTCAAATCGAAATCTTCAATAAAATTTTTTATTATTTTTTTTCATTGGCGTTCAGGTGAAAAAAATTAAAAAATAGAACCCTCCCCATATAGATTGTGCAAACACGTGCTTAGGCCATCGCCAGGGGGATAGCTGTAGCCCAAGTCCAGCGAGCAAAAACACTATAGGCCCTCCAACGGGCTAGCTAAAATAAATGGAGCCCATTAATGATCACGGTAATCAACAAATTGGCCCGCAATTGTTGTAATTTTTTTTTTTTGTATTTTTTCTTGCTCCAAAACGGTACCGTTTTGGGTTGCCACTATTTTGTCTTATTATCCCACTTATGCACAGTGCTCCAAACGGTGCTTTTATTTTTTTTTAAAAAAAAAACCTAAAAATAGGTTATTTTTAGCTCCTTTTAGGAAATAAAAAATAAAAAAAATAAAATTCATTAAATAAAAAATATATTATTTAGGCACTATTTATCGAAAAAAAAAATTATTTGGGCCAAAAATAAATTCAAAAAGCTTTTGTTTTTTTTTTTCTTAAAATTTGTTTTTATTTGTTTTTTTTTTTTGCTTTAAATTGTAATCCTTATTTTCTTATTCCAATTCATTATTTTTAATCCTTATTTTGTCATCCTTAAAAAAAAAATTTATTTGGGCCAAAAAAAAATTCAAAAAGCTTTTGTTTTTTTTCCTTAATTTTTTTTTTTTTTTGTTTTTTGTTTTAAATTGTAATCCTTATTTTCTTATTCCAATTCATTATTTTTAATCCTTATTTTGTAATCCTTATTTATTTGGGCCAAAAATTAATTAAAAAAAACTTTTTTTAAATATAGCCGTTACAAATATAGCCGTTTAGGAAAAGTTAAAAAATAATTAATTAATTAATTTTAATTTATTATTATTATTATTTTTTTAGAGTGAAAATTCGGAAAGCCTGATAGAGTGCATGTTTCTGGAGAGTGAAACTGCTGATGTGGCTCTTGGAATTATTGATGTGGCTTTTGGAAAAGTTGATGTGGCGTTTTTAGAGAGCCAAAATTTGGAGAGGCTGATGCAAATGGCTTTAGTGAGATTGGGCCAAAATTGGCCCATAGTGGGCTCGCGACCTCCCTTTCTGGCCTTGGTGAGCCAATCCGCAATCTCTTAATTTTATTTACATTATCTATTTAAATTTCTTGCTTAAAACGAAGTTGTTTTGAGACTGAAATTAAAAAAAAAAATTAAAAATTAAAAATGGTTATTTTAAGCCCTGTGCTCAATTATAGAGACTCCAAGAAATCATTGAAGACAAAGATAAAAGCAGAGAACTTAGAACTCGCATCAAATACAAGACCAGCACAGTGATGAAGCTTTTGTGTGGGTCTTCATTGGTGGGCCTCGTATTGGGTCTTCAACTTCTCTCAATCATCATCAAGCTCACCCATTGGTTTGATCAATCAGAAGTGAGAGTTTTAGAGAGAGGGTATATTTGTAATTTTATTTTTAAAAAATTAAGTTTTAAATTTAATATTAAATAATAAGGTCAAACTTGTCATTTCACAGCCTGATTCACGGGGTCGGATACGGATACGGATACGAATACGGATACTGGGACAATGTGATCACTTTTTAAAGTGTAAAAATTTTTTTGAAATAGGTTGAAAGTTTATGATCAAAATTTAAAAATAGATTTATAGAATTAGCTCATCTTTTAGTAAAATAAAATATTCATTTTCCATGTAAAGAAAGTATCAGCTCCGGTGAAAATGGCGAAATTAGCCTTGTGACAATGTTAACCAAGTACGTGGTTTTTGGCACGAGTTCGTAGAATGGGCATAAGATATCATGCTGCTTCTATTATTATTCAATCTCGACATACAACAGTTGCTGGAATGGACCGACCTACAAGGACTCTTTCAACTTTTCTAATTAAATTCGATTCTATAATTTTTATGTGTTTAAAAACATAATATGTTTTTCCTTTTTCACTCTCTCAATTTGTTTATTTTTTCAATCTTGCTGGATAGAAAAATATAAATTATTTGCTCAAATGAACCAAATCGCTGTCAAATCTATATAAAAGATGGTTGGGTTTTAACTAGTTTTTTCTTTCTATCGTTTTTTTTTTTTTTTTTGAACTTGTTTGGAACCTAAACTCAAATTCAATTCTAGCAAACTATTTAAATTTATTTTGTTCAAACTAAAAATAGTATGAATATAACTTTAAAAAAAAATATTAGTATCATACATTTTATTTTTGGTTTATAGCTCCTCCTATTTATCAGTTTTGAGAGGCAGGCTGTCGTTGTTTTTTATTTTTTAATTTAAATGTTCAATGATACTTTTGATTTATTAGTATATTTGCTCTTGTTGGATTCACATTGTTTGCAAGCCAACTTAATTGATTGGCTTGTGAATTCTTAATGAATGTGGAACCCTCCAACTCCTTATATGATCAATCAAGATAATTCTTGTTGGATTCACATTGTTTGCAAGTCAATTAAATTCTCGATTAATTTAAAAATTTGCAAACAAATCTAATGTAGGTCGAGTTTAACTGTTTGATTTTGAATTTGAAATCAAACTTGAATTGACTAACTCTTTTATTAGAGTTTGAGCTTGATTGTTACTGGTTGACTTAAAGTTTAGTTTAGTTCCAATCCAACATTACTCGTGAAGTTTGAGTTCAGCTCGTTTGGCTCAAGATTATATATTAGTGTTCGATGTCAGTTATTTTTAATCAATTTTGAGCTCAATCTCAAACTCGAACTTGAGTTGGAAACCAAGACCAATAAGGGTAAAATTGAAAATAAATCTAAATGATCTCTAATAAGAGTTCATGTCATTTAATGGACCTGTTTACAAGTACATATTTAAGAACATGTTCCTGAAACGAAACGTTTCGTTTACTTTTACTCATCTTAAGTTTTGATCGAGTCAAATTTGAATTGTGACCGGCTCGGGTTCATTTATTGTCCTGACCAGGGAACAAGATAGGGCATTTAATATATCCATTCAAAATTAGGTGTTGTTGATGATGTATGTTCTACAATTTTTGGGTTGAACTTCTGCAAATATGAAAAACTTATATTAACATAATTGTGTTGAACAAGACTAAAGTAAACCAACATACCAGACGCCTCACCTCTAACGAGTTCAAGTGGTATCACTGTCAATTTTTTTTTTTCACTATTACAGATACCCTATTATTTTTGTCATTTTGATATATATACTTGTAAAATTTCACTATTGCCCTCTGATAACTTCCCGCTGACAACCCACTGGTTCTCCTAAGTGGTCCAATTGAAGTACTTTTCCTTGTATAAACCAACCATACATGTAACTAGTGAAAAGAGCAAGGAAAATGAAGATTAAGGTGTAGGATAAAAAGAGAAGATCTGCTGACCTAAATGTTGATAACTAAGAGAATCCTATAATGTAAATGAATTCACTTGCTAGGCTATGTTAAACATGGAGCCATCACCAGAAATGATCTCAATATGTCCAAAAAAAAAAAAACCCTCAGCAATTGGTCCTAATCCATGACAGTATCAGAAACTCAGAAAATTCCATACATTATCTTTGTATTCATCACCATGAAAACGAGATCGTCACATTACAGAGCTTGGCATAGTCTATAAGTCCATAACACTACATTTGAAGCTCTGCATATTTGGAGTATCTATAGAACAAAACATCTAGCCTCCACTTATAGGAGGTATGATGGCCAGTTCATCTCCATCTTTAACAACTGCAGATTCAGATGTGTATTCTTCATTCAGAGCCAGGACCATGCATTCGCAAATCTCTTTCAAGCTCGGAAACCTTGCAATGAGCTTGTTCAAGCAATCACGGGCAGTACTACCAGATGACACCCCTAATTGCATATCGGTCAAGCCGGTTAAATCTCTCGCCCGAGCAAAGAACAAAACTTTTATCTCAACAGAGGTACTCACATTGTCTTTGTGTGTACCATCCACATTTTCAGGTCCATTTTGTCTCCCCTTAGCATCCATCAAAGAAAACCCTGTCCATAAGTGAACGTGAGTAAATTGTTCAATAAACACTACCTCCAACCTCAAACAAACAATATAAGAATGTTGGTTTCATGTATGGCAAATGTAAATATGATTTCCAAGTTCGCATGTCAATTAAAGATGTAGATTTTTCTACTTTTTATTTTTCCTTCAGGAAAAAAAAATCTTGAAATACCATATCCAAGTTCATATGTGACTTAAAGATGTAGATTATTCTACCTTTTTTTATTCCTTCAGCTAAAAAAAGAAGAAGACTTGAAGCCATGCCCACAAGATTAAGAAAAGTATATTGTTGATGTAAGCTTGCCCTGACATGATGGGCACTTGTGACTAATTTTAATATTTATCGATTGCAAATGAAATGCCAATCATATATTAGATACCGAAAACCTTCGAGAATTTAAGGGTGTTTGTAACTATGGAAACAGTTTTTTTGTTATTAGAAAACTAAAAATAAAAAAATTTACAAAAAAAACTATGCTTACATTGAATATTCTAAAAATTTAGTTATAAAAATGTCTGTCGAAATATAAAATATAAAAGATTATTTTTTGATAATAGTATTTTATTTTCTGAGTTCTTGATAACTGTTTTCGAAATTACAAACCACGCAGTCCTAAAATTTTGTTTAGTTTAGTTTTCAGAGAACAGTTCTTGACAACCTAGAAAATAGAATTTTTTTTTTTTTTTCAAAAATCTAAAAAATACCATTTTTCTAAAAACAGGCTTTTGTAGCTGACTTTCAAAAACTAACAACCAAACAAGTTTATGTATAATTTCCTGTTTTTCAATTCTCTAAAAACATAAAATAAAATAAAATAAAAGGTCAAACTTCACTGCTATCCTGGCATATTTAGCTTCAGAGCAAGGGGATTGATAATCCAACCAAGGACTAGGTTTTCAGATTCTAGAATATTCAATTATTACCCAATATTAATGGTCAACCAAATTTAGAGAGATTAAGAGATTGGCCACAAAGGCATAGAAATTCAGCTTCTTTAGCCTCAAAAAACAACTATCATCATCACTGTCTCTATGAAGTAGAAAACCATTATTGTGGAGAAAAACATATTTCTCATCACTCATCCAAATCCTCAACCATCAAGAATTAAATTAATCACCCTCTTTGCATATACAAATTTTCTTTCAATACAACAAGAATAAATAAGATGAATTAGAGAGAAAATGAAACTAGAAAGAGAAAAACATTAAAACCCAATTTGAGTATGGGGAAGAATAGAGAGAGAAAATAGAAAAAACCTGGTAATAATACACGCCGAACTGTGCTTCCCCTTCTTCTCTCTCTATCCCTCTCTTTGAGATTTCACGATTGAAAGAGAAGTAAGATAAACTCAGGCCTGAATGGCATTGTTTGGGACCCTTTTTATTTTATTTATGTTTAAACCACGATGTTTTTAGAATTTACATGAAAGCCGTATTTTGGAAAGATATTTACAAATCTGACCGTGCAAGTTGTGACTGTCACTATTTGGAATTAAATAAAATTAAGAAAAAAAATAGAGAGAAATGTACAGACCAACAGAAAACAACAGCTAATGGAGAAATTGGCAAGGTAGAGAGAGGAGAGAGAAAGCAACGAGGGTGGAATCTGATTCAATTTCCACAGTTAGGAGAGAGAAGGTGTATAGACTGTAGAGAGAGAGAATTCAGAGAGGGAGAGAGAGGTGGGATCTAATTCAATTCCTCTCCAGCGGTCTCACCTTCCTCCACCAGCATCGCCATCACACCCTCATCATCCTTCAAAACCCTAGAAAAATTCCATACAATTCCGGCCATGTCTCTCAACATGAAAACCCTAACCCAGGCCCTAGCCAAAACCGCCGCGGTAATAGAAAAGACCGTACACACCACCGTACAGGAAGTCACTGGACCCAAACCCCTCCAAGACTACGACCTTCTCGACCAGATCGGCTCGGCCGGTCCTGGCCTCGTGTGGAAGCTCTACTCCGCCAGGTCTCGCGGATCCAGTCTATCGCAGCAGTACCCCACCGTCTGCGTCTGGGTGCTCGACAAGCGCGCTCTGTCTGAGGCTCGGCAACGAGCCGGGCTGACCAAGGCGGCCGAGGACTCGTTTTTCGATATAATTCGGGCAGATGCAGCGAGGCTGGTGCGGTTGAGGCACCCGGGTGTGGTCCATGTGGTTCAGGGTTTGGATGAGAACAAGAATGCCATGGCTATGGTGACAGAGCCGTTGTTTGCGTCGGTTGCTAATGCGCTTGGAAATGTGGATAATATGGCAAACGTGCCTAAGGAGCTGAAAGGAATGGTAAGTAAAGATGACGTATCTTTTTGAATTGCATTTTCTAGTGTTGTCTTATTTAAATTTTGCATAATTTTTTTAATATAATTTAGTGATTTCCATGTTGATTTTACATGGGATCATAAATTTGGTGAATTACCCATTTGAATTTGCATGATTTTGTGTAATTTACCTTGCAGGAAAAAACATTTTTTTGTAATATAGTAAATGCCCATCTGAATCTTCTTTTTTCTTCTTTGATAATAGGGCTTCCAGCTTTAAATGTTGCATGATTTAATATTTTACTTAGTGAATTCCCCTTTGAATTGTGTTATGTAATGCAGTTGAATGCTGATTTGATTTTTTGTACAAGTAAATGCTGATCTGAATTTTTCATGTTTTATACTTTACTAAGTGATGCCTACTTGAGTGTAATGAGAATTCCCACTTGAATTTGCATGATTTCATGTACTATAATATTTGCTAATTTGAGTTTGCATTTATTAAGTAATTAGCAAATGCCACTGAATCTCAATTACCAAATGCCACTGAATTTCAATGATGCCCTGTAATTAATAAAATTCTTATTTGGTTTTGCGGTAATGATAGAAGATACAGTAGGATTTTAGGAACTTTCTGTTTGCAGTTAGGCACAATCCGTAGCGTGTCTTTGATGAACATACTATTGGAGTTGAGTTATTGAAATGTGTCAATATGTCAACTCTGTGATAGTAATTTTGATAGTTATCTTGTTATTCCTCATTTCTTTGATCTTCGTAAGCCTTATTATCTCCCTGATATCCATTAGGGTTTCTAAAGTTCCCTTGTTATGGTTTTAATCAATTTATTGCACTTTTGGTATTAATAAATGTTGGAATTGAATGGAGAAAACTGGATTCAGCTTATGATATATTTTTGTTTTCTCCATGGTTGGGCTTTGGATTTTTAGGTTATCACTGGATACTTTAAAGTTTTCAACCTACTAGTCTTTGAGGGGGGTGTGATAGCATGATACAAATTATTTAGCTAATTTTGTAATTGTTTAAGCATTTTGGGCAAGTGATTACTGATCATTGATTTTTGGAGGCCTTGCACTTTAAGTCTGTTGTTGCCTTTTGATTGGACATGCATTACTCCTAATTTTGTTGGAGGACTTGAAAAGCAATATGAATTTCATATTAAGTTTTTTGAAGTAATTTGCTTAAATGAGTTTTATGGGTATGACATAGGAGAAACAATTTGAGGAGGATAGGATAAGATTCGGTTTAGAGTAGACTGATTAGATTTAAGAAACTAATGGATATTTTGATTATTGCGATCGTATTTATTTCTTTGCAAAGAAATAAGATCTACGAGCATTTTGATGCCCATGAAGTTATCCATCTCTCTCTCTCTCTCTCTCTCTCTCTCTCTCTATCTATCTATCTATTTTTTAGTTTTAAAGGAAAACAAAATATATCGTGAGAGAATGAAATAGAAGGGTCAGAAGGATTTAGAATGCCCTAAACACTTGCTTAGTTACCTTGGCCTACCTAACATTTACTCTAGTACCCCATAGGGGTGCGTGTTTGCATGTGCACACTGTACATTTTGGAGTTAGTGTATAAGTATTTCTAAGTAATCTTTTGGGCTCCAGTATGTGCAGTATCATTTATCTATACAACTGCATAATGTTTTGAGAGAGATAAGTATGTGTAAGAAATCTTGAGGCTCCAATATGTGCATTATTGGTGATCTTTACAATTCATCCGCTAATGTGTCTTGAGGGAATTCCTTTTGCAGGAAATGGGATTGTTGGAGGTAAAGCATGGGTTGCTTCAGATTGCAGAATCCTTGGATTTCCTTCATAACAATGCACGACTTATTCATCGGGCTATATCCCCTGAGGTTATAATTTCTTTTAAAATATTGCTTTCCTAACTGTTTATTGACATTCTAATTTTTCCGCTTTTGCCTAGGTATTCTGAAGACCACTTATGGTCAAAGGACATCTATCTGAAACTTTATTATCTATTACTCTGCTACTCATTTTATATTTATCATTATGTTTTATTTCTGGAAGAAGAAGACGAAAGGAGGGGGGGGGGGGGGGGGGGGGGGGGGGGTGGGGGTGGGGACAAAGCTGTGTATCAGATGCTTGGCATATTTACTTCTTAAAAAGTAGGGTTGCAAACAAGTTGAGTTGAGCTTTGGCCTGTTTGAGAACGATAATAAAACTCCAGCTTGAAGTCAAGTTGGTCAAAGCTGTTGTCGAGCTTGAGCTTGGCTTGTTGGCTCAATCTCAAAGAGAAGCTTGAACTCAGCTCGTATGCTTAGCAAACAAGCTCGAGCTGTTCATGAATAGCTTGGTTCATTTGCAGCCCTAC